TCACTGTTATATTTCTTTATCTATAGTAAATCAACACTATTTTTAGATAGAACTATTTTTAGACAGAACACTATTTTTAGACAGAAAAGTATTTTATTACTGGTAGTATTCATTATTTTATTATTGTTACCATTATTCATTACTCTATTCATTATTATTAGTAGTATTCATTATACTATTAGTAGTAGTATTATTCATATATAAAGTAATACATTGAAATAAAAACTATTAAGGTTTTGCTTATAACAACTAGGGATGTTTTAACAGCACACAAAGGTAAAGTCTGTGACTTTAAAAATGCATAAATCAAGGGTTATGGAAAGGCAAAGCAATGAGTTTTCCTTTGTTTTTAAGTTCTGTGAAAAAAATTCCTTTCTGAGAATTTCAAATACACATATTATCACTGGAATTCTATTGTTCATTAATACAGAAAGGATAATTGGGTTAAAAGAAATGTGAAGCCAGTTGCCTCTAGTCCTAGTTACTCAGGGGGGCTAAGCCAGTCAAGGAAAGAAAGACCATGAGATTCTTATCTCCAATTTATCATCAAAAAGCTCAAGTTGTAGCCTTGTTTCAATTGGTAGAGTGCTAGTCTTGAGCTTAGAGATAAAGCCCAGGCCTTGCATTCAAGTCCTACCACTGGCACACACACACAAAAAAACGAAACATAAACATCAGTATTTTTGACAATTTATTCTGGCATCTAGATTTATATTATAAAATAATCTTAAAGTAGTATTAAAAATAAGACATTTTCAAAATAAGTCTGCCTTCACATCTGCAGAAATCCAAAGTCATCCCTAACTAACTGGAATACTTGAGCCATGATACTGAAAAAATACAAGTACCTTATACAAAATAGGAAATTCAGAGCAATTCCAGACATGCTTGTTATCAAATAGTCATTAAATGGAATACACTATGGTTTTCTTAAAAGAAAGATTATTTTACTTCTTCATGATTACTATATTATTGAGTAGTTCATTACATATTGAAATATAGGTACTTTGACCTTGTAATGAAGCTTCCAATGATTTTATCCCAATTTACTTATATTCACTACTTTATTTTTTTAGTAATATTAAATAGTTTATTTGATCCATTATTGATCCCAATCATCATCTAAAGTAAATTTGTCCTGTTTCTCCCATCTATCATCTTTTGCTCTATCCATCATCTTTCCCCATAATGGTTAGAAACTCGTTCCTAAACTTGTCTTTACATTGGTGAGTATAACCTCACCTATCACTCAATAAACTTAGTTTTAAATCCAGTCTTGCTTGACAGTTTTTTTTTTCCTGAAAATGAAGAAATTTCAGGAGAGGACAATCTTTTTGACTCTGTCTACTTCTCTTTTATAAAAAAAGTTTTTTTTTAATTTTATTTTATTGTAAAGATGCTGTACAGAGGGGTTACAGTTATATGAGTAAGTTAATGAGTACATTGTTTTTCTCTTACTCTCCCTTCCATTCCCCCCCCCACTCTCCCACACAAAGTTGTAAAGATCATTTCCAACATAGTGTCTTGTTAGTATCATTGTTGCAATGGATTATTCTGTGTCCCTGTTTCAACATTTGTTATTCCCCTCCCTAAATTAGGTAAAAGTATATACAAGATGCAGGGTACCAAAATCAAGTACAGTGACAATAGGGGATACACCATAGGGGAAAGAACAAAAGAAACAAAAAATCACATAGTACCTTAAAAACAACAACAACATAGAAAAACCTCTTTTGTTCATATCTTGGGCTCCATTTTGCTTAGCATCATCTAATATGGTCATATATACATAGCTTTTGAGCTTTTTTTGCTCATCTGATAAGATTATCCTAAACATATACTAGTTATTGCAAGTAAGGGAAACCTTGGGACCTGTTTCTTAAAGTCTGGCTTTCTTCACTTAATATGATTTTTCCAAGTCTTTCCATTTCCTAACAAATGGGGCGGTGCCATTCTTTCTGATGGAAGCATAGATTTCCATTATATATACATACATGTATATACATATACATATACATGTATATACATATACATATACATGTATGTATATATAATGGAAAGTGATATATATGTGATATATATATGTGTGATATATGTATGCATATATATATACCACATTTTCTTTTTTTTATTGTGAAAATACCATACAGAGGGGTTACAATTACATGAGCAAGGTAATGAGTACATTTCTTTTCAAACATTGTTGCCTCCTCCTTTGTTTCCCCTTCCCATCTCCCTGCAACACCCCCTGCCCAAAGCTGTAAAGTTCATTGATCTGTTCATCTACTGAGGGACATCTGGGTTGGTTCCATATCTTAGCTATGGTGAATAATGCTGCTATAAACATAATGTGTTGGTAGCTTTAGTATGGCCTTATTTGTGATCATTTGAGTGTATGCCCAGAAGTGGGATTGCTGGGTCATAGGGGAGCTCTTTGTGTAATATTTTGAGGAACTTCCATACTTCTTTCCAGAGTGGTTGAACAAGTTTACACTCCCACCAACAATGCAGTAGAGTTCCATTTTGGCCATATCCCCTACAGCATCTGTTGTTATTAGATTTCTTGATTATAGTCATTCTAACTGGAGTGAGGTGGAATCTCAATATTGTTTTGATTTGCATTTCTTTTATGGCTAGAAAAGTTGAGCATTTCTTCATGTGTCTATTAGCTATTCTTATTTCCTCTTCAGAGACGTTTCTCTTTTTGTCTTCTTTTCTAAAAACTCTTACCAATACTGTCTTCTGTCTTTGTTGAACTTACTGTTAAACATATTTTCATTAATAGCTTGATGGGAAATATGCTAATGACATCCAGAATTAATGTATTTTCATTGTGAGCTTTTAATGTATTGTCTTATTATCAACAATTCTAAACTGTATTGGTGAATTTTACTGTTAAAAATATTCTTTAGCTTGTATGATTAAGCAATTGATGTGTTTAAATTTGTGTTTCTATTGTGTATATATACATATGCATTTATGTATATATTACATGTATGTGAAAAGATATATACATATATACAAATACACATATATAGTGCACATGAACCAAGCTTCAGATGCATTCCTTGTAAAAGCTCATAATGATTTGGAACATTTTAATGATTAAGAGTATAAGATAGGCTGGGAAGGTGGCTCAATGGTAGAGTGCTTGCCTCGCATGCATGAGGCCCTGGGTTCAATTCCTCAGGACCACATAAGCAGAAAAGGCCGGAAGTGGTGTTGTGGCTCTAGTGGTAAGAGTGCTAGCCTTGAGCTGAAGAGCTAAGAGAGAGCACCAAGTCCTAGAGTTCAGGCCCCATGACTGACAAAAAATAAAAAGAATGTAAGACAGTAAAAATTGAGATCTTATAATTTATTCATTAGCTGCAAAGATTTTCAGTCATATATGAAATAATATCCTGAATATTATTGCCTTTATATTTCAGAATTCTTTTTGAATTGGTTTTTGTTATACATCTAAAGAACATATCAAGAACATTATCATTATTATTAAATTTTATTGAGCTTTTACTGTAAAAAAAAGCATGTAATAAATAATTCACTCTGGGTGGCCCATCATCATTTCCCACCTGATCTCAAATGCTAAAACTAAAGGAACCTAGAGAATGTTGTTTCCCCGCCCCCTCTCTGTCTCTTTCTCTCTTACTCTTTGTCTCTTCCACTTGTTGTAAAATTAGAAAGGATGACTTTAATGTGCTTAGAATTCTCTTGCTTACATTAGCAATTTGTTATTTTCTTCTATTTTTGGTGCCACAATAAAGAAGCACAAAGATAGTTCAAACATGAATCTTGTCAGCTATTTTTTCAGAATGTAATAGGTCACAGTATGAAACTGCAAAGTTTTACTTGATGTATATTTAAATGTACACAGATTAATGGGAATTATGACTCCAAGTATAATTCTTTAAAATTAAAATGTAATGATCAATCATGTAATGAATTACTTGCATTTTATTTATTGTAGGCACAGGAGAACTCATTGACTCAAGTAAATTAAAAATCATATTAGTGTGTAAAAGAACTCCTTTATATTTAAATAGGAAATATAGCTTTTTAAGTTGAATTATCTCGAATAGCATAATCATGCTTATTTCATTAATCTAAAGATTATGTAAAACTCCTAAAACAAAAATAAAAAAAAAAACTAGAGTAAGCAAGGAACCAGTGGCTCATGTCTGTAATCCTAAGTATTTATGAGGTTCAGATCTGAGGATAAAGGTTCAAAACCAACCTCAGCAGGAAAATCCACAAGATTCTTATCTCTCAGTAATCACTCACTCACACACACACACACACACACACACACACACACACACACACACACAAAAGCATACAATATAGCCAATGACCCCAACCCCTTCTTTCCCTGCTTGTTAAAACACCTTTAGCAGGTTTCATTGTTCTCTTGTTGTATATGCAAATCACATACTTTGATCATATTCATTCTCATGCAACCTAGCCCTTCCTTTGTTTATGGTATCCTTCCTCTACAGCTGATTTCTTTCCTGGCATTCTTTTTTTTTTTTTAGTGTTTATTAATTGTACCAAGGAATCTTAAATAATATAAATAACTTACAAGTAAGTTATTGAGTACAAGTTGCCTAAAACTATGAATAATTGATAGTAATATTGCTATCAAAATAATGACATCTCAAGACATTAATCATATTTTACCAATAAGTAAAGAAAAACCTGGGGAATTCATCTTTTATTAGTCATGAAACAAAAATACTGTTTTCATTATTGTAGTCTTACAGTCATATACTCATTTAGAAAGTTAAACCACTTACATTAAATTCATTTAATCATGAGAATAGCATGTATTACTCAAAAACCACTTGGAAATATAGAAAGATCCACAAATTATGTTCCTTTGTAAGTAATAATACCATTATAGTATTGTCTCTAATAGTGACAGTTGGCAGTAAAAACCAGTTATAGATGGCGATAGAACCATTGGTACATTTTTATTTTTATATTTATTTTCCATTTTTCAGAATGATGTAGGAGGACAACGCAGCCTGATAAACAAATGGACAACTTTCCTGAAGGCTAGATTGGTATGCTCAATTCCTGGAAGAGATGGGGCAGATACTCATTTTGATGAGCTTCGTAAGTCACGTACTCTAACTTTCCTGGAAAAGTTTTACTACCAGTTAGCTCCAGCATGATAATGAAGAGATTCATTTGTAGGAATCCTAAAGGTTTGTGAAGGAAACAATATCACAGCAAGTGAAAGAAAGATATAAACTAATGGTCTCAAAGTCCAAGTATCTCTCCTGCTCTCTTTTACTTCTTTGTGAGCCAAATATATAGGCATGAAAACCTTGGTTTCCTTACTGCACTGATGCCCTCTGCTGGAGTCTATGAGAAACCTATGAATTTGGTTCTTCAGCAATAAAAACACATTATTCTCTAATGTTTCCTCTTCATTTCTCCCAAAACTAATTCTAAAAGGAGTTTTTAAGTTGTAGATAAAATTGACAGCTTTATTTAATAAACTTCTTTTTTATTTTTATTTTTATTGTGAAATACCGTACAGAGGAGTTATAATTACATGGGCAAGATAACGAGTACATTTCTTATCAAGCAATGTTGCCTCCTCTTTGTTTCCCCTTCCTATCCCTTCCCATACTCCCCCTTCCCCCTACCTGATCCTCCCCCCCTACCAAAGTTGTAACGTTCGTTTTTTGGCATAATGTCTTGTACATCTCATTGTGGCAATGGGTCCACCTGTATCCCTAGTTAAACGATTTGTTTTTTTCCCTTCCCTTCCACAAATTATACTGACATCAAATACAGTGGAAGCAGGGGTTATACCATGGGGGAGGGACATACAAAGCAACATAGAAATCATCTTATAAATATGTTAGAAACAATTGCATGAAAGAAAAAACAATTGAATACTTATCTTGGGGTTCATTCCCCCTTCTTTAATCCTTCTGGTGTGTATGTAAGTCACTACATCATTGAATTATTTCATTAGTATTTTGTCTTACTATATTATAGTGTATATTTGCTGTTCATGATCAATACTCCTGTTTTTTATAATCACATTCACATATTGAATAATCCTTGAAAATATCATTTGTGTATAATTTACATGTGTAATTATTTTCATATTGTTGACAAAAAGATAAGTTAATTACCAAGTTGATATAATCACAAGAAACGTGTTTTTGTGCTAGAGGATAAAATATTCTTGCATTTTCTTGTTCCCACAATCACTTATACTTAGTTGGAAACAGTCATGGAGGTTATCCTCTTATTCATGAATAACTGAAATAAATATCCAGGAGGTTAAATTTTCAACTCAATGTCACATAACTAGCAAGAGAACTTTTAATTTCTTAAGGTTTACTATATATAATGCATTTAAATGCTGCTTAGAGTACCAGAAGTATTTTATTTAATGCAAACATATAATGTGTAAAAATAAAGTGTCATGTTTTTTCCCATTAACAGAAGACATCTATTTACTCCCCACGCGAGATGAAAGAAATCCTGTTGTATATGGAGTTTTTACCACTACCAGGTAAGTTCATCAAAAAGATTTATCTTTCTGGAGAATATATATATATAAACACATGTATATATATATATGTAGATGTATAAATCAACAGATTTATATTCTTTTTGTGTCTTCCTTTTTTTGTTGTTGGTCGTGGGCCTTGAAATCCAGGCCTGGCCACTGTCTCTTCAGCTCAAGGCGAGTGCTCTACCACTTGAGCCACAGAGTCATTTTCAGTTTTCTGGTGGTTAATTGGATATAAGAGTCTCACGGACTTTTCTGCCTGGGCTGGCTTTGAACTGCAATCCTCAATCTCAGCCTCCTGAGTAGCTAGAATTACAGGCGTGAGGCACTGGTGTCCAGCTTGTGTCTTCCATTTTAGTGGCACAACATACATTTGTTTTTCATTTAACCTGTCATTTGTTCCATCTTTTTGAAACTTCCCTTTGTTCTTTTTATTCTATCCCACTAGCTCCTACACTGATTATCAGTTAGCCATTCTCTCTCTATTCTTGTAGTATCCAGGCCTTTGCTCCTATACATGCTGCTTCCATGACTACACTGAACCCATACATACCACATACAAAAAAGACTATCTGTTATTCATCCCCAGATAAAACTGTTCACTACAAAAGACATATGACTATACTATTCACAGTATATATCTAAGGTTCCTAGCCAGAGAGGCAGTATTAAAAAACACATGAACAAAATGATTGAGCTTATTGACAAGATCAAATAAAACGTGAGATGGGATGCACAGGATGTTTTAAATTTCATCACCTAAAAATCTACCTTATCTGTACTTCCTCATTACCCTGAAAGATAGGAGTGTTTTGACAACTTCAGTGCTTTACTGTTTTAGCCAAGAATGTTTGCATTATCTGTTCCAAGGATAGTACTAGTTAATAGTAACAGTAAGACTAAAGGTGTTTCGGTTATTTAGTTTTAATCTTGTATTTTTGTCTCCTTTCTGCATAAGGCTACTTTGTAATATTTTTAATAGTGTGCATTAGTTTCATAAGGTGGTATTTCATCATGACACATCCTTCCATGTATGCTAAATGCCTATCAACTTCACTGCCTTATTACTCTTCCATAACCCCCTGTTCACTCCTTAAATCAATTTCAACAGATTCTATTTTCTTTCACACAAATGAATTACTTTGACATTATTAATATTCATTCACCCTCTCTGTTAGCCTTTACCCCCTTCTCATAGGTACAGCCCACAACAGAACATTTTTGATGTTTTTCTTACTTTTATGTGTACTAATTGTACCAAGGAGTTTCACAATGGTATTTCAGATGTGCATACATTATTATATTTTAATCATCACAGTCTTCTCTTTTGCTTTCATAAAGCTGTCTTATATGTGTTATTGTGATTTCACTACTACTTTAAAGATGTACTAGCATCTACAAAGCTTTTTGAAGATATCGTCTCAAGAATGTGTGGTCTGTGCAACTTCATTTTGTTTCACTCAGTAGCTTACATTTGAGTATGTTCATAGAGAGTCTTTGTTCCTGTACATATTTCTGTGTACATACTTGGAAATACTTTCCAGGTTTCTGAAGGTCTTGACATTTATGCATATATATTATTAACACTACTAGTACTGGGAGAAAATGGAGGATTTTCTTCCTTAGCTATGAATGAGATGATCCTAGTGTCTTTTTTCTGAATAAATTAATAAATTATTGTGTATGTGAATTATAACTTATATCCATAGCATGATCCTAATTTAGTTTGCAATACAATACATTGAACATAAACTGAAATTATTGGTTCAGAATATTTCAGTAAACAAAACAGTATTTGGTTAATTGTAAGTCATAGGATGTGAATAAACTGCTACATAAGCAGCTGTGACTTTAAAATTCTTTGTTCTGTTAATTTATATCTGAGTATAAAGGGTTGCAAGAACAATTGCCTGTAGTCACCCTCGTATCTCAGAACTGGTTTTCTTGGCACCTTTCCATCCCCACAGCTTTCTTTGAAGTCAATGTGTGTTCCACACATTAGATGCAGATATGTGCCAGGGAAATGTAGCCCCAAGATAGTTCCTTTTCTTTCTTCTTCTTCTCCTCCTTGTTTTTTTTCCTATCAAATTTCTGCCCACCCAGAGTGTGAAGTTTCAAGTCAACTCTTTGTTCCTGGTATACTTGGTTGTGTTATTTTTAATGCTGTCCTGAAGCCTGAGGTAAGGCTGGCGTTCATGTCACATCCTTTGTCAAGTGAGAAGACATAATTAACCTTCAATAATGACAATGCTATTAAGCATGATGCATTGTTCCCTCAAATATCACAGACACATATGTGATTTTTATGGAAATGACTGACTTCGTGGCTAGTAGCTACTTTAGTCTGAGCTGCATGTTTATCATTACCTTTTGCTGTTGTCACTTAAGAATAAAAATAATTGAGTTTCTTGTGCTAGTGAATAGTTAGCATGATTGTGTAATGTTGAGATAGTCAGTCTCTTAGATCATAAAAGATAAACTCGTTTTAAAGGATGTGAGTCCCTGAAAGTTTTTCACCCAAATAAAATGCCTTTTAATTTTGACACATACACACAAAGATACATGTTAAGAATGTTCAACTATTATAGAATTCCTATGAAGCTTTTCTACTTTTAAATAATTATGTGTACCTTAAGGTTCAGGTAAGAAGTTATGACTGATAATAAGCTCAATTCAAAAAGAAACAAACTAGATTTCAAAACTTAAGCATAAAATCACTTCTGGGCCCAGGGGCTCACAACTGTAATATTAGCTACTTAGGATGCTAAAATCTTAGGATCATACTTCAAAGCCAACGCAGGCAGAAAAGTCCATGAGACTTTTATCTCCAATTAATCACCAGAAGACCAGAAGTGGAACTGTGGCTCAAAAATGGTAGAGTAGAAAAAAAAAAAGAAAAAAAGAAAAAGCTCAGGTACAGAATCCAGGCCCTGAGTCCCAACACTGAATTTATTATTCATTGCAAACACATTTGCACCTGAATTATATAATGTTCATTATATAACTATTAGTCACAGATCAAACAATTAGTCTTAAACACAACCAGTGTCACTTTTCATACAGTAAGTTTTTTTTCTAGCATTATGCTATAACAACTTCAAATGAAATTTTAAAAGATATGGATAGATATTTATAACTTTTTGCTCTATATTCTTTACTATTGTTAAGTTTTGCTAGATAATTTTTACTTACTGATGAAGTATCCTATGATACTTCATTTAGTTCCTGAAATTTACCCAGCAGCTTGGTTCTGGGTACCTTCATGTGCTCAACTGGCTAATTACCTGTTACATAGTCTTCACTCATCACCTAATAGGATTGATTGACCAGATGCTCCTTCAGGCATGCGTGTGCATGTGTGTGTGTATATATACACATGTATATATACATATATATTGCATATATACATATATACATATATATATATCGTTTTGTTTTGTTTTCTGGAAGCACCTGCTGATCAGAGCGTTCTAAATGATTTTTTCTTCCTAGTAGTTCTTGGCTTTGGTATGTTTTTAACCAATGTTCTCTGAGTGATCACCTGACTTTCTTTCAGTTCTATCTTCAAAGGATCTGCCGTGTGTGTATTTAACATGGCTGATATCAGAGCTGTTTTTAATGGTCCATATGCACATAAAGAGAGTGTGGAGCATCGCTGGGTGCAGTATGACGGAAGGATTCCATATCCTCGGCCTGGCACCGTATGTATCCCACCTGAAAACCGCATCTCCTATCTGATTCCCAGTTCTGTACTTTCGAACTACACTGAACTCCATAGCAACCTATGCTGTTGATTGTTCAAGAAACTATCATTTATTTATAGGGATGTACTAGAACTTACCAGCCATTATTTGAAATTAATATTTTTTGTTTTGAAGCACAGTTTTGAGTATAATAGGAAATGCTGGGCTATATTTTCATGAGTGGATTGTGCTGCAAATATTGAGTTTATCGCCATTATGTTCATAGAATCACCAACATGGTTTTATAATCTAAAATAACATAATTTAGCTATTCAATATTAACCCATTATCTTTCTTTCATTTTCCTGCACTTTGAAATAATATATATTTGTTCGATGTGAAGGGATTTTAACCAACTCTGAGTTCAAACTCTTTTCCAATACTAAAAATCACATTTGAAGTACTGAAAGAACCAGAAATATGTTGGTTTTTTTTTAAGGTTTATCCATTTGTTTAAACTGTTTTATAGGCATAATGAATGAAAGACTAGTTTTCATTGTTGTTATAATTAAAATAGTTCAAGCTGTTTAAATAAGGAAGGATTAGTTAATTGATTTAATATTATAAAGAAAAAAATCTATTTTTTTCCTTTTAGGATTTATTCTGATTTTCTTTGTGTTGTTGTTGTTTGTCATGGGGCTTGAACTCTGGGCCTGGGCTGTGTCCTTGAGCTCTTCAGTTCAAGGCTAGTACTCTACCACTTGTGTCACAGCACCACTTCCGATTTTCTGGTAGTTTATTCAAGATAAAAGTCTCACAGACTTTCCTGCCCAGGCTGGCTTTGAAACACAATCCTCAAATCTCAGCCTCCTGAGTAACTGGGATGACAGGTTGAACCAATGGTGCCTGGCATGAATATTGCTTTTAAGAGACCTAAAATACTCTCTGAAATCTCTGAGAAAAAAATGTTGAGTAAATCCTTCAAGTACTATAAATTCTACCTTTTCATAGATTCCTTTTATAGAGAAAATAGCTGGTATTCTACTTTCCTGATTTTCCACATTCTTTTTTATGTAAATTAATGTATTTTCTTGGAAAATATTCTTTTATAATTCCTTATTCTAAATTTATTTCAGTAATATTTTGGGCCCAAATATAAAGGAATTCCTATTTAAATATACCTCTCTCTCTCTCTCTTTCTCTCTCTCTCTCTCTTTCTGCTGATTATTAGGGTTCTGAACTCAGGGTCTGGGTATGTTCTCTGATCTTGTGGTGATAAATATAGTTAACAATAATCTGTCATTTCAAATGATAAAGTATATACTACATTTTTGTTTAATATAGGTACCATGTTATACATCTGTAGAACTTAGTAAATTGAGATTTTTTATTAATAAGTTTTTTTATTGTGAAAATACTGTACAGAGGGGTTACAATTACATGAGCAAGGTAATGAGTACATTTCTTTTTTTTTTTTTGTTGGTCATGGGGCTTGAACTCTGGGCTTGGGCACTGTCCCTCAGCTCTTCAGCTCAAGGGGAGCGCTCTACCACTTGAGCTACAGCGCCACTTCCAGTTTTCTGGTGGTTTATTGGAGATAGGAGTCTCATGGTCTCTCCTGCCCGGGCTGGCTTGGAACCGAGATCCTCAGATCTCAGCCTCCTGAGTAGCTAGGATTATAGGCGTGAGCTACCAGCGCCCGGCTTAATGAGTACATTTCTTATCAAGCATTGTTGCCTTCTCCTTTGTTTCCCTTTACCATTTGCCTCTAACCTTATGACTGTTACAGTTATATTTCATAAGTTAAGTTTATATAAGTTGAATCATGCAGAGTTTGCCTTTCTATGAAAGGTTTACCTCATTTAGCATAATGTTCTCATGGTTAATTCCCTTGTACTGAATAGAATTGCCTGTTTTCTGTGCATGTGTATGTGTGTATGTGCGTGTGTACATGTGAGTGTATCTGTTGCCCATTTTTTTATTCATTCATCTGTCCTGGCACATTTAGCTATTGTCTATCATTGCCGCTAAGAACAGTGCTTTAGTGAACCAAAGGATGATAATATCTACTTGAGATCTTAATTTTAATTCATATCTTTGCAATTTTAATTGCCTTACTCATCTGGGTATTTACAAGAGAAATATATCATTCAGGGTTAAGACTATCTAAATTAATTAAAGCAAATCTTTTGTGTACACAGACAGGAATTCAGTACTCTGATACTTAAAAGTTGAAAATGATTGTGAAAATAATTTTAGATGAGTGCTTTCAGATGACATTGTTTCTAGGGACACTGTAGGTCTGGAGTGCTATAGAGAGGACTGTCTGTTTTCCTTCCCAGTTCCTGCCGGAAGGAGCTATCTGCACTACAGCATTCACAAAGAAAATACTTTTTATATGAAACTCCTGAGTACCAGCCACCTGTATGATATAGCAGTAATGATGAAAAAAAGAAAAATGAAAGAGAAAAGCAAACAGAAAACACAAATGTCAGTGCGTGATGTTTCTTTTCTTTTCTTTTTTTGTAGGATGTGGGGATTGAACTCTGGGCCTGGGTGCTGTCTCTCAGCTCTTCAGCTCAAGGCTAGCACTCTACCACTTGAGCCACAGTGCCACTTGTGGTTTTCTAGTAGTTTATTGGAGATAAAGAGTTTCAAAGCTTTTCTTGCCCAGGTGGCTTTGAACTGTGATCCTTAGATCTCGGTCTCCTGAGTAGCTAGAATTATAGGAGTTGGCCACCAGTGCCCAGCTGATGTTTATTTTCAAAGAGAAAAGAACAAATTTATGTCAAGTATTCTGATATTAGCTATTCAAAAATCACTGCAATCAAATTTGAAGATATGTAAAAGAACAGAGAGATTATATAAAGTCTTTACGTGCTCACTTTTTTAGTCCATTTAAAATAATTTAGAGGCAGGAATGGTGCCACAAATCTCTAATTTAATCAGGCAGAAGGCTGAGGCCTTCAGCCTCAGTTTGAGGCCAGCCTGATCTACACAGTAAGACTGTGTCTCACGAAACCAAAAAGCAAAAAACTGAAGCAATCACAAAACCTTTCACTTGCTTGTCATGCTATTTTTCTGTGTTTCTAAATTACACTATTTATTTGAAATACAAATGTTAAAGCTAGGAACATTATATATCAGATATGAAAACTCTGTTACTAAATTTGCTTTGCCTAAATGAACTTCACCATTTTAAATTACTACACTCATAAAATCATTGGATTTATTTTTCACAGTATATCGAGTGACTGCCCTTGTAAAATTTGAGAATGTAAGAACTGGGGTGGATGATAGAAACCACATAATTCACCCTTATTTTGCACAGGAGGAATGTGATGCCCAGAACAATTGAATCACTTTCCCAATATCATATTGCCAGAAATAGCAAAGTGGAAAAGAGGTTTAGAGTATTCTGATGGGTCTTCCTGCCCTCTTCTTCATGGTCTCTAATGTTTTTCCATTCTTTAACATGCAGGGTAGTAGACTGCACTTTACCTAAAACAACTTTATGTGGTTTTACATTTTCTCCTGACAGCCTCTCTTATCTGTACTTGTTTAAACCACTCAAAGCTGCATATTTCTTATGTTTTACACAGTAGGATATAATCTGACATCAGCTAAACACTACAGATAAAATAGAATTTCTACCTTTGTTTTGTTTTGTGTTTGGCACGCTGGATGCTGTACTTTCTTTGAACAACAATCACTCTACACTGCTATGTGAATGATCCTGGAAAGTCACAAGCTTGTAATCTGGAATTCCTTCACTTAAGTGATTTGTCTGCCCTCTGGTGTCCAAACTGAATATTTGAGGGGTTGGAATATGAAGTTGCAAGTGAAGTGAAATATTCCAAAAAGAGTGGCATAAATCAGATGTGGACAACAACTTCAAGTAAGGCCAGAGCTAATAATCTGCTAGAATGCTATGGCCCAGTAAAAGGAATGCAGTATGACAGGCCAAAACACATCTCACACCAGCTCTGCCTCTTATGTATTTCCTACCGTATGGGTACACCTTTCTTCTTGATGTATATGTGTGTGTGCATATGTGTGAATACCCATATACTAATGCCCATTGTCTAAATATTTTCCTTACTTTACAGTTTTCTTTGGTGACATTTTCTTTTTATCTGAGTAAAGAAGCTTTAAGTCACACAAAAATAACAAAAATCATTGGGCCAAGCTCTTGTTTTTTTTCTCTTCATTGCCCTTCTGTGGTTTATTCTGACTATCATATGTCATGTTAGTGAGAAAAAAGAAGAAATATATATTAAAATGTAATGTAGAACTGGTTCAACAAAACTTAAATGTTTTATACGTATTTATTAAGAACATCAAAATGTTCTATAAAGCATATTATATCTGAAATATTCCTCAAACAAACATTTCCTTTCTTTTATTCCTTAATTCTATTTTAGGAGTTCAGATTTTTTTTTATTCTAAAAGGCATATTAGTATATTAATGAGTCAGTCATATAATTTAATAGTGTACTATATAAATAACATTTAGGCATTTTTTTCTTTTTTGGTGACTTAGAGGTTTATTTTTATCTATTCATTTATTTTATTTTGGGGGGTCGGTCATGGGACCTGATTGCTCTAGGCCTGAGTGCTGTCCCTCAGCTCTTCAGCTCAAGGCTAGCACTCTACCACTTGAGGCGCAGTGCCACTTCCAGCTTTTTCTGCTTATGTGGTGCTGAGGAATCGAACCCAGTGCCTCATGCATGCTTCCAGTCTAGAGGTTTCTGACTCAAAGTCCTGTGTTTACTAAGCAGGCATTCTTATTCTTAGACTCCTCCAGCTCTACTTCTTCTGTTATTGCTGAGATGAAGGTCTCACTTCCTGCCTTGTCTAGCTCTTCCTTGAGAAGGGGTCTCCAAAACTTTGTTGTGCATAGATTTACCTTGAACTGGGAGTCCAGCTATTTCAGGCTGCCAAGTAGATAGGATTACAAGTGTGAGCCACGTACTAAACTCAGCAAGTATCTAACTCTCAACATGGAATATGCTCCTTTCTAAAGCATTTCAAGACATTCTCTAAATAGGACACTTTGTCATCTACAACTCCTCACATGGGATTTTCCTATAGAGAAAATCTGAAAACAGAAATATTACCATTTCCTCCATTTATACTGGGGCTTGTTATTCTTTTTTCATCTATGTTCTTTTTTTCTTTTTTTTTCTCTTTTGGTTGTTTTGCTATGGGATCGAAAACCGACAAAATTTAGACTATTAGTATATGTGTAGCTAATATTTATTTCCCACCAAATTTTTAGACCTTTTTAATCTCCCTAGAAACAAATGCTTGCTATGCAACCCAGACTTGCCAGGAACTTGCTGTATGTCCCTGATGGGCCTTGAAATCATGACTTTCCAGCCTTACTTGTGAATGTGCTATTACAAACAACTACCCTTTCTAACGATGTAAGAGACATTGAGAAATCGTACCATTCTTTTGATTGTAGGTCTGCTAGCGAGTCTGCCTTATCATGATCATCTACCACTGACAAGCCCTGAGTCCAGGCACACCTGCCTGATGCTCTAGAAATTAAATAATAATAATAATAATAACCTCAGGACATCACCTAGCCTTACATGAGATTGGTTCATAATTTTGTTGCACAAAAGAGAATTCTGAAGTCACTGAAAATTGTTGGTCAATATGGGTGTAGAAAAGATAGAGAAAGAAAAAGCAATAGTGGAAATTGACTTAAAATAAGTGAGCTGTGCAATACCACAGTGGACTCCCTTGTATAAAGAATATATCCTTTAAAATGAATGGCAGAAAAATAAAATCGGTTCTGGTAGGTTTGGGTACCAATGGTCAAGTGAGGGTGAACAGAGAGGATGAATGAGAGTGAATATGAATATAAGAGAGTAAGTTTCGATAGGAGACTATTGGACTTGTAGTAAGAAGGGGAAAAGAAAGAAATTGAGGTCTGGATCTGGCTAGAGTACATTGTATGCATATGGAAATGTCATAATGAAATTTCCTTGTACAATTAATATATGTGAATACAAAAAATGAAAAGAATAATAGGAAACTTGTTCCCGTAGAAGATAAAAAGAACAAGAAAGGAGAGAGAAGAAGATGGAGGAAGAGAGAAGAAGAGAGAAAAAGAAAAAGAGAAAAAGAGAGATTGACTACTCTCCTTTCATGTCTGATTTTTCTATGTCTGGTATATAAAATACGTTTTCTTCTTTTGTTGTTGTTGTTGGTGGTGGTGGGGCTTGAACTCCAGGTTTGACGCTGTCCCAGAGCTGTTCAGCTCAAGGGAGCGCTCTGCCACTTGAGCTACAGCACTACTTCGTTTTCTAGAGGTTTTTTCGAGACAAGAGTTTCACGGACTTTTTGCCCAGGCTGGCTTTGAACTGCGATCCTTAGATCTCAGCCCCCTGAATAGCAAGGATTACAGGCATCAGCCACAGGCGCCCGGGTAAGGGTTTTCTTCTTAAAGGCTGAGACTTAGATTCATCAGAAAACGAAAGTATCATTTTCTAAGTTTGCATTTTCACATGCTAAATTTACATATCATTAAATTTACTTTCCCCAATTGTTGGAGGTGAAAGCCTCGGTCAGTCTTTCTTGGGCTTCAGCTTCCCTCCCATCTGTCATTCCTCTGATTTGTTTAAAAGGGAACTGCGACCTGTAGAGAATAGCCCACAGCAGCAGAGGGAGAAAACTCTTAACAGCTGTCTGGTGCCTTGCCAAGGGGCAAAGTTCTCTCATTGGATAAAACCCATTTTTCTTCTCTTCTTATCTATTGCTTCCCTCTGCACTCCTCAAGGCCCTACACAAACACTCGGATCTGCCAAGCATAACAGGCTCACACCTAGCCAGCTGTGCAGCCCGCCATGTAGACAGGCGCTGAGCAGGGCTTGTGGCTGTGGCTTTACCCTTTCATCTTAAAGTCTATCCAGGCAGCTTCTTCTTTTCTCTTCAGCTCTGGAGATGGTGTTAATGTTTCCAGCAAGATACTGGCATTTGAAAGTGTGGCTAAAACATTTTCATTCTGTTTATTACCCCCCCCCTTATCCTCCTCTCAAATCTTAATTTGCATTAGTATTTTTTCAAAACAGTTGGTAAAGTCATAGTTCTTTGTTCCACTCACCTGAGTACAAGTGGTAGAAAATAGGCAAACGCCAGAAATATGGGCAGAAATAAAAGGCTCTGTAAGAGATAGTCAAGTGGAATACATTATAGCTAGAAAATAAAAGGATATACATATATGCTCATTTGAATTTTTAATATCTGAATGGGTAGGTATGACAGAGAACCTTTCTAGAAATATTGGATGAAATTTCTGAACACTTTTTTTGGGTTTCCTCTTTCCTACCGTTCTTTTACCTTAACATGTTGCTTGGCCTCTGGAGTTATTGGTAAGTCTGTATGCTGCCTAGATATATGGTATCAAAGCAAAAGTCCTCCCAGATGGAGTGTACTAAAAGAACAGTATTTGGCTCATACTGTTCTGTCTTGAACACTTGCATTTGTGTACACACAGTGGTGTGGAGAGAGGCCCCTCATACCAGGGGAGGGGAAGCGCCCTCTCCCTACTCTGGCCTCAGCAGGGAGGAAAAGCTATTAGAAAAATGTATTCTCAAAGATCATTTTCTGGTAGTGAATAGAAACCAGCTTTTCCTTTTCTTCTTCTTTTTTATTTATGTATTTGTGTGTGTGTGTGTGTGTGTGTGTGTGTTTGGTTATACCTGAGCCTTTTTTTTCTTTTTGTCAGAGACAAACAATGAAAAAAACTGTTTGATTTAGTTTTTGCTTAATATTTATATCTTTTGGGATGCACTGACTTATATTAAGCTATGTAATTAATTATTTATTTGTTTGTAAAAAAAATGTAGCGTCAGAGGCACAATCTGCCTCTTTTGAAACTCTAGCTACTACAAAGTCCAAAGACATTTTCTCTTAAGTTGGAGAGCTTTTTCAAAAATGTAGTGCAGGCAAAATCTTGCTTTTGCTTTGATTTTGATGATAGACCAACCAGACTGAACCACAGGCATTATAAGCTGTAAGCCTACTATGAATGGGGTTTGACTAAGCCTAAAACATGCAGCCTGTAATTGGGTAAGAGCTTTGTATTATCTGAGCTCCGAGCTTAATCTACTTAATATAGGGTTCCTTCCATTATCAAGTTGACAGATTCCACTTGGCTGAAGGCTAAGCGCTCGAAACAATGATTGAACACACAGGCTTCAGTGTATAGACCAGCCTCCAGTTAAGGATTTGCTAAATAAGTACCAAATGGCTAATGATGTAGGACATGTCTAATCTCTTAGGCATAGTCCTGGGACAAATAACTAGAAAAAAAAGAGATCTATTTCTTAAATGGCAGGAATACAAGATTTGTGTGTGTGTGTGTGAAAGCCAGATACTATCAAAAACTAGAAAAAAAACTTTGACTTTATTTTTTCAAGTACAACTTTGATTTTTCTTCTGATTCACAATGAGCCATTATGAATTTGTTGAGACAAAATTTGGGGTCAGGGTTATATATTGTCACTAATTCCAGGGTCTTTGAATGACCCTCTTGAGAACATTTTGAAGTATGATTTGTTTTTGCAGAACTGGTGTGATCTAATTAGCCCCTAGTGTAAATAGCTTGGTTCCAATTCATCTAAAAACTAAAAGACAAAGGAAATATTTTATATGCATTCATACAGTTTCTATAAAAGTCACGCTTTTTCTTACTATGCATACACCAATTAACTATGGCTTTCCATAGCAAAACAATTCATTAGTTCATTAAGAATTCAAATGTGTCAATGACAACAATGTTATTATATATAGAAATACTTCCTAGGTCTAACAATATTTTGAAACAGAAATTATATTTTAAAAGTGAGAAAGGATATGTTTACTGTGGAAAAGGAAAGGTAAATTTTAAAGTAATGCCTTTTTAGACAAAGGCACATCAAATTTATTTACTCTGTACTTATTTGAATTTTTATCCTAACCACCAGAGGGCACATGATGCTAACTATTTATGTATCTGGTGTACAGTCACAGGAGGCAATTTTAGACAGAAGTGGAAAATTCCCTGAGGGTTTCTTCACAGCTCCTTTAGGGGAAAGAGCTGTCGAATTGTTCACGGCATAATTTTCACACTAGTTATAATAAAAGTAGATGGGTATAATTTCAAACTATTGAAAGTCTTCTGAAAGTAACTTTGGTGAGCTGTTAACTTGTTCCTTTTTTATTTTAAAGAAAAATGGTTTTAACTGAACTGCAATTCTACTTTGTTTAAAGGAAATTAAAAATAAGGTCTTCCTACATATTTTCACAATCTTCATGTTTATGTTTTTAACAATCGTTTCAACTAATATTTCAAGTATTTTCACTAGAAACTGTAATCATCACAATGTTTTCCCTAAGAAAACATTTCCACAAGGAAATATGATTAACTACTGTTAAAATATGTAACCTAGACTATTTCTGAGGGAAAAAAGCATATTTAAACATAGTGTAGGTATGGTGCATTTGTTAAACTTGCACATTGATTCCACAATGATTGTTGTCTGTTTCTTCATCTCGTCCATGATCTGACTTGAAAACTTCTTGGGCAGTCAGCATAAGTTTCTTAGGTACATAATATCTTTATTCTTGTCTACATTCTCTTTAGTGTCCAAGCAAGACTTATGACCCCCTGATTAAGTCTACCCGAGACTTTCCAGATGATGTTATCAGTTTCATAAAGCGGCACCCAGTGATGTATAAGGCAGTCTACCCAGTAGCAGGAGCACCAACGTTCAAGCGCATAAATGTAGACTACAGACTAACGCAGATAGTGGTGGATCATGTCATCGCAGAAGACGGCCAGTACGATGTAATGTTTCTTGGAACTGGTGAGCCTTGAACTAGACTAAGCTTTCTTTCAAAGCAATTTATTATTACCACATTAAACAAAAGCTAATCTTCAAAAATATTTCTTGGTCCAAATCAAAATGAATAATTATTATCTGCTATTTGTCAGTGTTTCTTAAAAAAACTATAATGTCCTATTAAGTAATAACCATATTTATCTCTCATGTGAGCTTTCAAAATACATTTGTGTATTAAGGTTGCTATCTGATGACTATAGATTAGGTGGTGTGTGTGTGTTTGTGTGTGTGTGTTTGTGTTGAGTGAGTAGAAGCAAGCATTTAGCAATTGAGGCTAAGCAGTGTTTATTTTTGAACTTCATCTTTCACTGGTTTTGAGAATCACTGATTTAAAGGGCACCAAATAAGTTTTCGAAAACATTAACCCATGACTTTATAAAGACCTTTAAATAAACTTGGAAATCATTTTTAATTGTCTTGAATTTTGTGCATACAATGAATTTTGTGGACTCTCATTATTGGACCTCATTTTATTTATCTTTGGTCTGCTAACTTAGTGACCATGAAACAATTAATATATTTTTAACATTTTACCTGGTGGTGGTACTTGCAACCCCAGCATTCAGGAGATTGAGAAATGAAGACCATGAGTTCAAGGCCACCATGGCCTAGATAACAACTTATTTCAAAAAAAATTCACAGTTGATGCTATGTAACTAGTATATAAAGTCACAGGAAGCAATTTTAGACACACACATAAACATATGTATACACATATATATTATGCATACAGAAATTATTTATTTTGTTAGTTTCCCAGATGTGAGAAAGTTTAAAGTTCTTTTCTAGTATTTAAAAAACTATTAACAGTAAAGAAAGCAGATACTGTTAAACAAAGGTATAGTATTATATAGATAATTGACACTACCTAATGGATTGAAGTAGACATTAATGAAAAATGTCTTTTAATGTCTCTAGAAAAAGTTGTTTTATTAGAAATGTTTTATGAAATGTGAAACAAAATTAGGTTTATTTAATTTTTAAATAATTTTATTGTTTTGCAGAAGTTAGGTTTATTATCAAGTATATGCTAGATAAATTTCAAAGACCAGTTGTTAAATATGATTATATTGCAGAGAACTAGTTCAAGACCAAGATAAATAAGGGATCTCCCAGGATTTATAAAATGGATATTTAAGGGTCACAACTTTAAATAATTAGTCTTAGTAATTCTCATGAGTTTGACATTTAATTTGCCAAAGTTCATTTGTCATTAACAGTTCACTACCGCAAATGCAATTGAGCCACTAGGTGGCAGTACCTAACTTTCACTGAGAACATTATGGTGATGTTAAGATAATTATGGCATTGAAATATGCATTTTAAATATACATCTCAGGTGACTGAAAAATCACACTTAAATAATCCAGGGTATTTTGTACATTACTATATATTAGGAATATTCCTATATATATCCTTATAAGGATAAATATATAAATCCAACCACATTGTTACTCTCTATAAATCTAACCATATTACTCAGAATATTAAAGTATAACAACTTTGCATAAATTAAATACAAATAAATCAATTTTCTTTTCTTAAAGTGTTCTTTTTGTTATTTTCCTGCTATGTGCTACTGATAAATCTGTAAATCTATGTTAATTTTCCTAAGACATAATTTCTAAGGATTAGTTTTGTTTGGACATTATTTCCTTGTATTCTGCCTTTTAAGATGAATTACAATTGTTTTTAAAAAATGGTATTGTTTGGCTTATTGGTAATGATTTAGAAATAGAATCAAAAGACATTGCCATGTACATTGCTTTAATGATTATGTGTTCATATTTAATGTTAATAAAACAACATATTTCTCAATTTTTATGACAGATTAAATATATAATGAATTGCATATGTATTCCAGAAAGATAAATGCATTATTACTAATTTTACTATATTATCCAAATACATTAAAATATATTTTAATATATAAAAAGTACCTTTTATATAAGATCAAAAATACATTATGCCCTATTATTTTAACCAATATTTAAATTAGGCATATATATATGTAACAAATATGTTCTAAATTTCTATCTTTTAATATTCATTTTATGAATATCTACATTACTAGGTAAAAATTCATATCATTTAAAAACGGCAAAACATTTCTTACATCCTTCATTTAGGTAGATATTTTGAAAAGCATTCAGAGAAAAAAATGAGGGGAACAATTTAAAGATTTCTATAAAGAGACTTAAACTAGATATTGCATATAAACAGCAGTATAATGAGTTCTGGTTTTACTTTATCCTTTTCAGATATTGGAACAGTCCTAAAAGTTGTTAGCATTTCAAAGGAGAAGTGGAATATGGAAGAGGTGGTACTAGAAGAGTTGCAGGTATTCAAGGTGAGACTCCGTCTAGAGAGAGTTACAGGAGGGAGAGTGAGGCTAAGTTCAAGGTGAGACTCCGTCTAGACAGAGTTCCAGAAGGAAAAGTGGGGCTGAGTAGTCAGTCATTGCTATGGGGCACATTTGTCCCAACACATCATCACTTTTCCTGGAGAAATCTTTGAAATTAGCTTCCCTATGTTCATTTTCTCTAGGCATTGGAAAGGGTTTTATAAGTTACTAAAAATGGGACCCACTTTCCACTGTAGACACAACCCATACTCGTGGGATTGCCTCTCATTACTACATTCTCTAAGTGTACAGTCACACAAAGTGCCACATTAAATGAAAGCCTGGAGTCCCATACTATCCATATGCTTTTCTACTTTATAAGTTTTATTTGCAAGCTTTCCCCAATTGAAACAGAACAAACTAGAAGAGTATAATAAATCATGAGTGTCCTAGCTTTTCGGTAGAGAACATTTTAAAAGCAGGGAATTACATAATAGTAAGTTCTCATGTATTTTTAAATTCTTTTTATCTTCCCCAAATAGCTTATCTAGAAGATTTCTCCTGGTTTGGAGGATGTCTTTGGCTCTTAACAATAGATTCAAATTCAGGCATTCTTTGTAGATCCTCAAGGTAGTTTAATTTTTAAAATATTTCCTGAAAATAATATCAGAAATAAGATTATACTTCTTAGAAAAGCTTTTTGAAAGTATGTTGTGCCTTTCTTACATTTTTAATGAGTTATTTTTTTAACAATCTATTTAACAGTAAACATCAATTGCCTTAAAAGAGAGTAAGTAGAGCCCACCACTGGGAGAGGCTCAAGTTAATTAAAATTCTGGGTTCCCTTGGATCCTGTTTACATTGTGATGATAATAGTGGTCAAGAAGTTAATAAGAACAAGACCAGCTATCTGGCCCTACCAAAACAAAACCTTGGGTAGCTCCTATGGGAAAAGTGATGTCAAACAGAAGGGTGAACCAAGAGGCTTACATGAATTTGCTATAATACCACAGAAGCATGTTAAGACAAGCCTTATTCAATAGATGTTGGGCAACGCAAAAGGGGAATTGTTTGCCACACTGAAAATTAGAAAAGGTCATTCTTTGTTCTCATTTCTCACTTTTCTTTTTTTCTTTTTTTTTTCTTTTTGGTGGTACTTCCCAAGGAGCACTCACTGTACCTTCTCTAACTGGGCTCTTTGTACAAGTGTTTTGTTTAATCATTTACTGATCTAAGTAAGAACAGAAAAAAGTAAAAAAAAAATTATTGAGATGTTCTTGTCAAGGCTAGTTTAAATTATTTGGAAGCGGTTAAGCTAAGCAGATTTAAAACAAGTAGAAAACTGTGAGTAACTGGAAACAATTTTCAATGCAAAATGTTTCCTCATAGGTAGGTAGATTATTATCTAATAAAAGACTTTGATTATTTTCATTATTATTATAAGCTGGAAGAATCAATACACATTTGGGAGGAAAAAGTGAAGGATAACTCCCAGGTACCAATAAGATAGCCAGCAGATTCCCTTCAGTGGTTTTTGGTAATTAATAAACACACCTGTTAATGATTTTCTTTATTGACATTCACCTTCTATTTTCAGCACCCAACAACCATCTTGAACATGGAGTTATCTCTAAAACAGGTACATGCATTCTAGTTTGTGGCTTTTTATGTTTCTTCTTTGTTTGTTTATTTTTTGTTCCTTATTCCCTTCCTTCCTGTCTACCAGCCTGCTTGCTTGCTCTTTCTTTCTTCATTTCTTTCTTTGTTTCTTCCTTTTTTCTTTCTTCCTTCCTTCTTTCCTTTCTTCCTTCCTTCCTTCCTTCCTTTCTCTTCCTTTCTCTTTCTCTCTCTCTGTCTCTCTCTCTGCCTCTCTCCCTTCCATTTTTCTTTTTAATTTCTTTCCTTCCTTCTTGAGAAAATGATAATAAAGTTTATTAGGAAAGGAGTACACTTTCAATAGACTGAGAAAGTACATTATTCCTAGTGTAAAAATAAAACAAAAATGGGAACTTTCTAATTTTAAATATTCACAATGAAAGCAATAAACTGCTTCTATCAAAGTTTACTTGAAGAAACAATGGGGGAAGTTAAGTTATAAATAATGTAAAAAGCTTTTAGATTATGTATAGCTCTTCTTGTTGAGTAGAAGACACTCAGTTATTAGGGAAAAGAAGACTCGAAACATTAATTGTACCCTGTTTTTCATTTTTTTTGGCTCTTATAATTTGAATTTGTTTCTGGTCTCATGTGCACATCTTTCTGTCAAAGTCATTAGAATTACATACAGAATTCCTGTCCTAACCATTAGAAGGGATTTTAAATTAGGGAGTAGGGAGTTGGAATATGGACTATCTTGGCAATCAGCCAACAGTAAACTCACTACTCAATATGTCAGAGGCAAAGTTAGAAAATCCATGCACTTCAAGGCTCATTGTGAGTTTAGAATTGCTTATTTATTAACTTATCTGTTTTTGTGGTGCTAGTGATTGGACCCAAGTCATTGCTAAGCAGCCCAAGTTTATCAAGCTTTTTTATTTGGTTACTTTCCATCTCATTGTATATCTCTGGTGAATTCCAACTAAAAAATCTTCCTGCCTCAGCTTCCTGAGTGTTTGGATTGTAGACATAAAACTGTTTCTGTTGTGTATATGTGTGTGTAAATGTAATGCAACAACAACAACAATAAGTGGTTGCTTTCACTTATGTGATGTGGAACTATGAATCTTAATTAAAAGATTTAGACTTATATTTTCCATTCCTATATGCACTCTCAAATTTTAAGAAACTGACATATTTATAATATATGTTCAACATTAAGGCATTGGTAAACTTATTTTAACCTATTCTGTCTATATTACCAATTATTAGGGAAACTAAACAAGTGTCTTCTTTAGGCTTATGTTAATGTATTCATTCATTCAATATTTCTTTCTTAATTTATATTTATTTTCAGAGCATTGAACCCAGAGCTTCACCCTTGCTAGGCTCTTGAATGTTTCCTTGGTCATGAACATACTTTCCTTTAAAACTCACTACATTTCTTTGAGGGTGGAGAAATAAATGCATGGCATAAGGAATAACCTGCAACAGCTTATGTTAGAGCTAACAGACAAGGAAGTACACTAAAAATTTACAGTATTATAGAAAGGAAAGTAGCTTGAAAGGAAGCCAGAAGGAACTGGCGAAGATAACTAAAAGAAGAGATATACAAGCTATGCCACAAAGAATGCTGTCGGGGAATGGGATGGAGGAGCATATGCCAAAGAAAAGTATTGGATCCAACAGCTTTGCTCTAAGTCTGCATACAATTAGAGCAAGACCACATGTGTTCTAAAGGGACAGAGGTTAGAAATGACTCTGAAGAAGTAAAACAGAGTAAGATTAGGTACATCCTTCCATATCCTTCCAAGATGTTTAAAAATTTATCTTAAGGACAATGGAATCCACTAAGATTTAAGCTAGAGGGTGTCTAGTTATTGAAACCAGGGTCTTAGCACATGCTAGTCAAGAGATGTACCACTGAGCTATAGCTTCAGCCCCAGACTTTCTCTCTAAAAAGGTCAGGCTGCTTTATCCATGTGAAAGATTGATGGGGTCCTTCTTTAGACATGGGGATTGCTGGAACAGAAGGCCAAAATCAATGGAAATAGGACACTTACAAGCAGTCTCAGAAAGGAATGATAAGGATGAAACAGAGACTGTGGCACTGGAAAGGGAGAATAAATAGTTTAATGGTTCTGTATGAGAGGGTGGAAATGGCATGGACAGATTGAATGGGAGAGAATGAAGTCTCTTAGACAACTCCAAGACTTCTGTCTTGACTGTCTTGGGTATGCTAAAGTAGGAAAGGGGTAAATTTAGAAGAATCATGCTCATTACTTGTTCTCCATGTATCATCTGCATGTACCATCATTAGTAAATAGGATTAGAAAAGGAAGAAATCTTGAATTTAACTGAAAGAAAGAAGGTTAAAAAGAACGTGACACATAGATCAGGTAGAAATATAGGAAATTTGTAAATAATAGAGAGTTTTAACAAAGCATCATAACTACTCTCAAATATCATAAGAAGTAAGAATCACAAATAAATAAACAGGGTTCAGTGCACATTTAAGAACCAGGAAGAATCACCGAGAATGTAACTGCAGTAAAGGTATAAGAGAGTTCCGTCACTGGCTCCTTATCCTAACATCTATTTCTATGATGTTTTACTTCTATTTAAACCTGAAATATCGTGTTGGCCATACATTCTTTGAAGGCACACAGTAAGGTTCATTTACTTGTATTCTGCCACTCCTCTAGGAATACCCCCAGTGACACTCAAGTGAGAGCACATGAAGAACAGTAGATTCCTTTCAGAATTAACTTTCAAAATATCACTTTATTTGCAGATATTCAGTGTCCAGAAGACTTCCATTTGTACTATGACTTCTGTTAAGTCTGCTTAGTACTTTCTTCATACCAATAACAAATACTTAGCCTCACACAAAGAACCCATACGTTTTCAGTGATCAGATCATTAACAAAATCAATGGTTAGTTATAAACAAAACGCAATTTCATAAATCTCAGTCATCATTCATGTAAGGAGCTATGACAGGAAGACTATCTGTTTTGCCTACAGCCTCTGAGGTTGACATAATCTACTAATGTATATTTTCTACTATTGAGAAAGAATTTGACATCTTAATTCCTCACTCTAACAGCTTGTTTTTGACCTTCTTAAATTACTGGCAAGCTTACTCCAGATTTTAAAATACCATCCATTTCTGTATCATCATCTTCAGACCAAAACAATCTTAACTGGATGAACAAGACCTGTTTGACGTATTTTACTCTTCCTTATATCTCTGAACATGTGTTTACAATGTTCTGGACATCCAGAGAACAGATTTAGAGATATTATTTGGTATTTGAGAAAGGGAAGTTCTTAAGACTAGTCTGAAAGATGCTTCTAATTCATTTGCTTTGCCTGATTTGCAGCAACAATTATACATTGGTTCCCGAGATGGATTGGCTCAGCTCTCCTTGCACAGATGTGACACTTATGGGAAAGCGTGTGCAGACTGCTGTCTGGCCAGAGATCCCTACTGTGCCTGGGATGGAAATGCATGCTCTCGGTACGCGCCCACCTCCAAACGGTAAGGTGCCCGAGGAGTAACCAGGAGCCTCAGCTCTTACAAGATGTCTCACTCACAGCAATACATTGTGTTGTAGTTTAAGTAAAAGAGAAACCAATAGACAACATTATCTGTGGAAGAAATACGACAATAAAATATTTGTTTCATAGAAAACTAACTTTCAAATAGATGTGCTGAAAGGCTAAACTTACTTACATAGAGTTCAGATACTTTATAGTACCAATATAGCTGACACTCTTGAAATGAAGTATGATCCTTGAGTTTATACATAGATAATAGCAACATTTTTAAATTATATTCCCCCTATGTAAGATGTTATGAAAGTATGTGTGACATTATTCCCTTTTCTTTCAGTATCTTTAAAAAAACAAAGAGGAGAATATATACTTGTCTCACTACCATATGCATTTAAAAAATATTTTACTGATACATCAAATTCTAAATTCTAAGCATCACGGAGTATTTGTATGTTAGGACAACAGACATTGCTTAACATTTAGACAAGTTTTATATTGTTCAAATCCCTTAATTTAGCATAAATAGGTAAAAACCATTTTTAGAAGTTAAGCATAAAAAGATGTTAACATTTTGTTCTATATTTTGTCCGGGAACATATACATCCTAGGAAGTCTTTGGGAAATGCTTTTCTAGAAGCCAGAAACCCAGATTACTCATTAGTAGGCAATAAATGTTCCATTTGATTGATTGACTCTGTTCCGTAGGAAGCCATGATTTAAAAACATTCCTGACCTTCTTTACCTCATGCTAGCATAATTTTTTTGGGTGTTTCCCAAGACTGCTCTAAGAGCTCACAGTCTTGCCACTGTGATGTTCCTTTACATAGCACAATGTCCTGTAAGTAAAGATGTGCAGAATAGATGACCCTTTGCAATGCTATCATCTAGTCAGCATTGCCCTTGATATCTCAGGTCCATGTTGTTCTTTCTCTGAACTGGCAACAAAAACTAGGGAGAGTAGGACAAAAGAGATTGCTCAGAAAAGGTTGTTAATTACTGCTGAGTTTTAGGACTAAGATGTTCCAGTGTGCCTTGTACAATATGATGACTAAGGATAATAATTTACTATACATTTTTAAAAGCTTGAAGATTGTTTTGATTGATTGATTGCCGGTCCTGAAGCTTGAACTCCAGGTCTGAGTATTATCCTTGAACTTCTTTTGCTCAAGGCTAGCATACTACTACTTGAGACACAGCACCATGTTCAGCTTTGCCTAAGTAGTTTATTGGAAATAAGAGCCTCACAGACTTTTTCCTTCCTGGGCTGATTTTGAACCTTGATACTTGGATCTCAGCCCACTGAGTAGCTAGGATTATAGTAATGAGCCATGACTGCATGACAAAAGCTTGACAAAAGTTTGAAGATTTTGATAAGATTATTTAAAATATTTTTACCACAAAAATGTTAAATGTTTAAGGAGATAGATATGCTTAATCTGATCATTAAATTACACAATATATATATATATATGTGTGTGTGTAGGGATACCACATGGTGATACATTAAGATACATGGTCATTGTTACTATATATCGGTTAAAATACATCTAGTATATAAATTTAATAAATACATTTGACTAATTTTGGTTATTCAAATCAGGCAAAACAAATAAAAATATTTTGTGGAAGTAAAAGACATACTTAGATATAGCAGAATTGTAAAATTTCTTTTCCATCTGTTATTTACTGTTTTCTCATGGAAAATATGAAAAATAGAAAAGCCATCATGTTATTACTAATTTTTATTACTAATTTACTATCAGAATAAAACTGAGTTTCATATCTACAATACAAATATTTTGTTACCATTCATAGCATATCAAAACTCACACTTCCATTTTAGATATTTTTTCTTAATCAAATCTTGTTACAGTAAACTTATACAGGTTAAAGGTGCTCTAGAATTTTGAGTAGTTTCTTACCCACTGGAACTATTTTATGTATTGTTATTTCCCATGGCTAATGAAAAATAAAGAAGAATATTTATGTCTCTGTGTAAATCATGGATTCAGTTTTATATTCAACCTGTTCTGTTGAAAAAAACAATGTCCAGTCATAAAAAAGAGTGGTAGTTAAATAAAATTGAGTTTACAATAATGTAAAACAATTTTGTCCTGTTAGGGCATTATTTCCACTAGCATTTAAATGAATGTTATATTGATTGAAATAAGCATGTAACTTTTACTCCATGATGCATTTAGATTGAGTAACACCAGCATCCTTTTCCATCTACTACTTTTGGTTTTAGATGCAGTCTTTCCACATCACAGTGATTATCCTTGATGTTCTAATTGGTTTAATTCCTTCTCCATAGGCGAGCTAGACGCCAAGATGTAAAGTATGGGGACCCAATCACCCAGTGCTGGGATATAGAAGACAGTAAGTATAGGTTTGAGATGCTTGCTCTCCTGTGTAAAGTGATGAGATTAGTCTTCAAGTCTTTTCTTTAAATAATGACTCTAAGCATATATTATGTAGGAAAATGTCATTTGGTGCAGTATTTATGTTCTGGAAAAATAATAGGAAATTTAATGAGTTAATTCATTTCTGTACCTAAGTGCATAATCCATTGACCTATCATCTTTGTTTTAATTGTCTTTAAGAATTCCTATATTGTGGCTTTTAAAAAATACTGTCTAGGGGTCTGGGAAGGTGGCTCAGTGGTAGAGTGCTTGCCTTGCATGCCTGAGGCCCTGGGTTTGATTCCTGAGCACCACATAAGCAAAAAGAAAAAGCCAGAAGTGGTGCTGTGGCTCAAGTGGAAGAGTGCTAGCCTTGAGCAGAAGACCTGAGGGACAGTGCCCAGGCCCAGAGTTCAGGCCCCACGACCGGACCAAAAAAAAAAAAAAATACTGTCTAATCCTTCCTTGTAAAGTTTGAAAATACCCATTAGAAATAAATCAGGATATGACCAAAAACATTTGGACATTTAGAATAAACTGAAAGAGACCACCCAGAAAAGTATGATAAAACTGTAGATATTTATTAGAAGAAAGTTTAGGTAGGCTATACTGTAGGCTATACTTTATTGTTATTCATGCATTCTTCTATTAGTAAATATTTATTAAGTGACTTCCTTGTATATAGAATTGCCCTGTGTACACTATGGGACAAATAAACCCTTTTAAAAGTTTTGGGTTTTTTCATCATATGATACACTTAGTAACATTTCAGGTTAGTAAAGGGGAGGTCACCAGAAGCAGTATTGTTCAGAATTATAAACAAAGAATGGTAGAATGGAAGATCTTGAAAGGACGAATGGCAAAGGGACAGGACAGGGAAGTAAAAGGAAGTCTGCTCAGTGAATCTGCAAACAGGGGAAACATTCTAAGATACACAGAGAACTTTATTTGCTCTCTACTTTCAAACTCTGCTTCCAGACAGAAAACACACACAACACCACATACACACACACACACACACACACACACACACACACCATTATCACAACCACTACCACCAGCACCACCACCACCAATAGTAACACAGAATTTCAGGAAGAACACAAGTATATTCTTTTGCCAAATTGTAAGCAACCACCCCATGAGTGATACAAATAACCCCAAATTATCAGTTTATCAGCAGTGTTTCTTTTTAAAAAAGTTATTTTTAAATTTTTATTCCCCCCCATCCCTCCAATCTCCCCTCAAATTTCTTAGTTTCATAGACTACTATTTGAATAGTATAACTTCATTATTTTCCTTTCTCCTTTCATTTGTCTTCCTCCTACTCTTGACCTCCCCCCATACCTTTGAAGTACCAGTTCCCCAGTATTCATTTTGTTGGGACAGTTTTTCCTTTTATCATGTCCACATTTAAAAAAATTGCATTGGAAGTAGAGATCTTTTATAGTAAGCAGAGATCCTCAAATGTTGACAATTTCTTAAGGGTTTTTTTGTGGATTGTAGGGCTTGGACACTGTCCCTCAGCTCTTCAGCTCAAGGTGAGTGCTCTACCACTTGAGCCACATCTCTACTTCTGGTTTTCTGGTGGTTTATTGGAGATAAGAGTCTCATGGACTTTGCTGCCCAGGTTGGCTTTGAACTGCGATTCACAGATCTAAGCCTCCTGAGTAGCTAGGAATTTACAGGCTTGAGATACCAGTGCCCAGCTTAAAAATGGTTATTTTTAACTGAATTTACTTCTTCTGAAAAACAAGCTTTACTTTAAAAATACTATCTCTTTGTTATTGCAATGCATAGGAAACTCACTGCCACATCCATGTTTATTTTGTAATTTTCTCTGTGTCCTTTGTATGCAGTATTTTACACATTCATCTAAGATTGATGAGGGATTGTTACAGGTAATAAACAACCACAAAAACTTTATATATTCATGGGAATGTTTCAGGAGGGAGCAAAAACAAACATCAGAACAAGAAAATGTTCTAGCAAATGATGAGAAATGTTATATAGAAATGTTATATAGCTAGGTGATGGTGGCTCATGCCTGAATTCCTCTCTACTAAGGAGGCTGAGATCTAAGGATGGCAGTTCAAAGCCAGGTTGGCCAGAAAGACAGTGAGATTCTTGTCTTTAATTAACACCAAAAAGTCAGCAGTGGAGTGCCTCAAGTGGTATAGCACTAGCCTTGAGCATAAGAGCTTAAGGACAGTGCCCAGGCCCTAAATTCAAGTCCCAGAACTAATAAAAATAATAATAGAATGTCATAAGAAGCACAATTGCTCCCTAATATATAACTATTGTCTCCACCTCACCATATCCCATTCTGACCATAATCAATTGTACAGTCTATTCTATCATCATTTACTATCATAAAAGCTACAACCATTTCTTTTCTGCCAAATCCAATGGCCAATTTTCAGTTCTCATTCTTGTTTAATTTCCAAATCTCTTTCTTGAAACACTTTGTTCATGATGATGTGCCGCCAGTTAGTTCATGTAGCTTCGCAAACACTAGTGCTTGTTATTAAGGGATTTTGAGATGGTTCTAATCCATTCATATATGGAATCAGCTATCTCCGGGGTCTTTACAACAGGAAAAGCAGCAACCATTACCAAGAAATCTTTTTTTGTCACATGGAGATGATAGACCAGCACATTTGGCTTTTATAAAGTCAGGTTCCTCTGGCTTATCTCTTATTTTATGTTGAGTATTTTTTTAATTATCTTTAAGTAGTCTTACAGAGGATTTGCCATTCAAGAAAGCAGCTTGAATACTGTGCCTCATGATCAATGTCACTCCTTTGAACATTTCACCCTACCTTCTGAACACACTCCTTCCTTCAGTTTTCTTAGTTTTTAAGGCTTTTCCTTGGAACGCTTTTACCATTTAACGAAGCAGTTTGTGGGTACAATGAATATTGACCTGTGTCATCCCTTCACTGTCTTCACCCTCCTTTGATCCGTTAGCTCTTAACTTGCAGATTCTACTTTTCAGATGTTCTCATTTTTCCTTGTCATCTCGCCTTCTAAGTACTGCTGCATTGGGCACTGAAAGCTACTCTTCCATTGTCTGCTCTTTCTCTAATATCCTTTCACCAAAAAGCAAAGCCTATTTGGCTCTGAGTTTCATAGTCAAATCTGGACTCTCCTCTATATTCCAAATGAGAAGCTTCAATTACTACTCAAGGACTCCATTTGAATGCCTAATTAGTATTTCTTGTAATGTCTGAGAATGAATTTTGTGGCAGGATTTCATAATAATGAAGCCACTATTTAATTTCCTCATTAATTTCACTGTTATATTTTAGTAAAATAACATTTTTTTGGATGAATCAGTCTAACTGAATTACCTCATTGCTCTTACCTCTTAACATGACAATTGACAAACCCTCTTGACAAACTCCCTTTTTTTCTGGAAGAGACTTTCTGTCTGAGATGATCTATCTCTTTCTTTTCTGTGATCTGTGCATTAGGGACAAATTAACTATGAAAATTGTAGAATTTCTGGATATAGTTAGTAGATTACAAGTTTTAAGTCCTATCCACACAATGTAAAGTTAGAAGAAGTTAATCCATAATGATATCAGCATGGAGATAAGATGCAAGTTCAAAAGAATTTTCTTTGAAATCAATTTAACTTTTGCATGTATGTGCATTCATGCCATTTGCTGATAATTTTGTGTGCTTTGGTTTAAGAATCCCATAGGTCCCTGAGGCTTTAGTCCTTGGTTGATACCTAAATGTTAAGTGGGCCCATCTGTAGAATTGAGATATCTGAATGTCTGATGAAAAAGTGCATGTATGGGCCAGGCAGAGCAGCTGTCATTTTTTATTTGATCAAATTTGAGCTACAGATCTTAGATCCCACATGGGACACAGCCTTTGGCTACATTGAGAGGAATGCATTTCAGATGTTGGCTGATTTATGAGAATAAGGTGTCCGAAATATTGTTCCTTACATCTCATTAACTGTCTCACAGACAATGCATGCGGAGTTGAGGAATCTCCCAAAAAGAGAAGGTAGAGGATAAAGTAGATTCTGAGTCTCCTATCTTGGTTCATTCTCATCACAGACTTTCATCAAGTTTAGACTACTGTACCTACTTTTGAGCCATTCAAGTTTCTTAAAGTTTTCTCTTCAGCATACCAATTTAGATGGAATTCTTTTTGCAAAGTAAAGCAAAGCGTTCTTCAAGAACTAACATCAAAAGTAGTTTCATTTTAAGTGAAAAGAAAGATGTTAAACCATTTAAGGATACCAAAGGTTTATTGAACTCAGAAAACAAGTGTTTAGGAGTTAGATCTTGTGAATTACTTTTCAAAGGAGATTTGTAAATTATTAATGGGGTGATATAAGAGGAAAACATTGCAATATGAGTATAGAATTTGAGAAGTCCTTCCTACTATTGTACATTATCACTATTAGGCAACAATATTCTAGCAATGAACTTCCTTTTCCTTTAATAATGTGCACAATTCTTTCTCAATGGCATCTGTTCTAAATCAGTCTATTTTCCCATTGCTTTTAAAATCGGGTCAAGGTTAATCTCTTATTCCATGTTTGCTTTCTAGGCATTAGTCATGAAACTGCTGATGAAAAGGTGATTTTTGGCATTGAATTTAATTCAACCTTTCTGGAATGTATACCCAAATCCCAGCAAGCATCAATTAAGTGGTATATCCAGAGGTTGGGAGATGAGCATCGAGAGGAGGTAAGTTATCATAACCAGAAAAATGTTCTTTGAGGGAAATAGTATAAAATTTAAATCAAGGTGTTTGTTATAAAAGTGGTCCAACTTTTAGTGCCATATGGTATTTTCATCATTACTTGATTAAAAGAAAGTTTATATTCATTAACATCAAAGCTAATGATGACTTTGAGATAATAGGTTAATTTGATAATAGGTGAGATTATTACTAAATGTATCTAAAAACATGCTGAATTTTAGAATAAAAATTTTATGATTTGTTTTCCCAAGTTTTAGTATCCCAAGTTTTAGTGATTTCCTGTATTTCTGGAAAGCTCTCTAAATACATCACGGTAATATTTTAACTCACATTGTGCTCAATTTAGATTACAAATGAAACCTGCTGAGTTTGTATGACAAGAGGCACTTATATTTTTATCAGATCATGTGAATGAATTGGATGTATTTGGACATATGCATTTATATTTTTTCTGGTCTTTTCACTTTATTCTGTTACTTTTCCTGCTATATACATGTGAATAAAACATACTATGGACATTCTATGACACAGATCAGTTATAAGAATTTTATGAGATCTCTATGAGTCATCTAAGAGTAATCCTAGATTAATATCATTTCAATATATGGAAGTATGTTAGGTGACAGACTGGAAGTATTGTTAAATGGTAAAGAACTTGCTTAGCATGCAGGAGACCCTGACCTTAACCCCTAATACTACAAAAAAATAAAGAATTTATTGGAAGAATTATACTTATGGCTATTGTGGCATCAATGAAAACTTGATTAGTGCTCAGATTAAATTAAGTGAGCAATTGAATGAATGCAGGATTCAGAATAGATGCCTTGCATTGAAATGTGTTCCTGAGAACTTTAGTAATATCATTGAGCCACAGATGCCCAAACTTTTGACATAAACCAAGTAAGTTTAAAAATTACTGTTCCTGCCAGGAGCCAGTGGCTCACTCCTGTAATCCTAGCTACTCAGAAGGCTGAGATCTGAGGATCGAGGTTCAAAGCCAGCCCAGGCAGGAAAGTCCATGAAACTCTTATCTCCAATAAACCACCAGAAAACCGGAAGTGGCTCTGTAGCTCAAGTGGTAGAGTGCTCGACTTGAGCTGAAGAGTTGAGGGACAGCGCCCAGGCCCAGAGTTCAAGCCCCACGACAGACCAAAAAAAAAATTTACTGTTCCTTGGACAATTTGAGTGTAATTAATATATATTATATAAATTATTAAATTACCATCCTGCCCTTCACATTCTACAATTAGTAAAGATTGTGGCAGAAATTACTATATAAAAAGCAATTGAGAGAACACAGGAGAAAATACAGTTTCAAAGGAGAGCCTCTCCCTCCATAAAAATTGCATTTAAAATTACAGATACTCAATTAATTAGGATGTGTGGGACAGACAATAACACTGAGTGTAGGGTTAGAAAACACAAGTCCTGTGTTTGCTTTGTCTGTAGGAGAATCATGAGCAGGTTATCAGTTTATCAACCTCCTTGATAAATCCATATACATTTTAAAACTACAATGCTTAATAAGAGATGTACTCACTATCTTGTCTATGTAATTGTAACCCCTCTGTATGATATTTCCACAATAATAAAAAATAATAAAAAAATAAATAAAACCGTAAGTGAAATTGATCAAACATTGGTAGAAAACAGTAGATCTCTAACTTAGGCAATTCTTCTCTGAGTGCGGACATTTGGTCAGGTCATCTGTTATAAAATACATAATTTCAATGCAACAGTAATATTTACAAGAAACTACATTGATAATGAACTTTATAATTTGGAAGGAGGAAGGTTGGGGGGAGGGAAAGTGAGGGAAAACTAGGGAGAAGGAAACACTGTTCAAAAAGAAATGTGCCTATTACCTTATTTATGTAACTGTTACTCCAAGATAATAATAAAAAAACTCAAGAATGGGAATATAGGGGTATTTTAAGTTTATAAACAGGGATTATGAAGATGGATAAATTATCTCAACTTCTGACATGGTGATGTAAATGGTAGACATTTCGTTATTCAAAATAAAGGATTACTTTTGGAATAAAAATCATTTAATTTCAAAACTTAAAGCCCCTTTTGAATAAAGAAATATTGGGTAGATGTTTTCTTTATTTTTATCATACGGATTTATTTTACATACATTGTGATATTTTAAATGCTTCCACCGTTTTTGTTGTTGTTGTTGTTGTTTGTTTTGTTTTGTGGGTCATAGGACTTGAACTGTGGGCTTGGGCACTGTCCCACTCTTCAGCTCAAGGCAAGCGCTCTACCACTTGAGCCATAGTGTCACTTCCAGTTATCTGGTGGTTAATTGGAGATAAGAGTCTCATGAACTTTCCTTTCTGAGCTGGCTTTGAACTGTGATCCTCAGATCTGAGCCTCCTGAGTAGCTAGGGTTCCAGGCATGAGCCACAGGTGCCTGGCATTCCCCAGTTTTATTAGCATCAAATAGTTGTACAAGAGAATTTCACTTTGCCTGTCCATATTTGCATACAATGTCCCTTTATCAGTCTCAGGCCCTCTTGAACTCCTCATCCCCTTGTCTCCTTTTCAATAGCTAATCTGAGCAAATCCATTGTTCCGTTTGCACAAGTGTTCATGAAGTATTTTGACCATACTGAGCTTCCTTCATGTTTTCTGTTCACTCCTTGCCTCCCAAACTCTTACTATTGCCTATACTAGAGAGTTTAATAAAGCAATATTTTTAGTTTTACAAGTTTCATAATTTATTCCTAGTTAAAATAAATCTTTTCAAAAGTATTTTTTTCCCTCCATAGCAAATTAAATGTGGATTACCACCACTTGAGGTAATTTTCCGGCTGTGGATGCTATGTTCATCTAGGTTTCTTTGCATTCACATCTTTCATTTTTTCCAAAATATTTCTGTGCATTACATTAAATAGCCTCTAACAATCACAATGGTACCATGCTCTATGAATTTCAATGGAGCCGAAATAGTGTATTTATTGAATTTTACTTAAAAGTATCTTAGCTCAAATATTTCAACTGACACTTTCATTTGTTATTGCAAATGGGCAGTTTCCCTCTGTCCAGGATATGCAACACTGCTTCCTGAGCTGAGGAAAGGGCAATGTTCAGACTGCATTGGAGGCTTTTCCCCAGCAGGATGCCTTCTGCTCCTTACCCACAAGGTCACAGTTTGGAATCTTTCCTCTTCTCAAAAGAGCCCCAGGGAAGTACCATGATCTCCCGTGGTACTGTGGCTGTCACCAGGTTATTCTCTGCCAGGAGGAGAACATTTCCTTACTGAGCACTCTCTCAGTTGGGTGCTGTCGGAGGTCAAATGAGTCAGTTATTTGCTGACTTTCTTATAAAGCTGTTCTTGAAATGATGATGGTTATACTGTAACTAGCAAGTTAATAGGCCATCCTCAAACTTCTGTTGAACTTTTGGGATATGTATGAATAGGAAGCAGTACCTTACACTATTTACCGTATTATTTTTATTTTGTAGATTTTAATAATTTTAAAATACCTTCAAAAGTCTGGGGATGGAGCTCAATGATGGAGCACTTGCTTTACGTATATAATTCCTAGGTTCAAGTTCACTCAACACACACACACATACTTGCATGTCATTAATTTACTTATTTTTTATGAAAGGAATAGGGGTATTTTTCAATTGTAATAACACAGGAAAGATTATTACAACACTAGTTCCAGATAAGCAGGAGTAATATTTTGGTGTCTTTTGTGTTCCTTTGCTCACTATTGTAATGCCAGCATTTGTTGAGGTCAGTTGGCTGTTATACCATAATTCTATTAACTCTTCTTGGCCTGATAGTCATTTGAGAGCACTTGTAATTTATTTAAATGAGTGTTTAGTTTTAAGAAAAAAGTGATGTTTCATAATATTTAACATTTTCCCTATACTTCTATTTTCTTAGAAGAAATTTCAAAAAGGAAAAGAAAATGAGTTTAAAGATACTAGTTATCTTTATCAATTTTTACTGAACAATAACATAATGGTAATTTTCCCATAAAATCTTTGTATTAACTCATCTTCTAAACTGAAGCAATTAATTAAATCAGTATAATTTAAGAAAACACCAGTTTGAAAATATATACTTTTCATATTTTTTGAATATTGGTGTATGTAAACATCCATTTTTATCTCTTAGCCGTTTGTTTGTGCTTTTATCTGTTTAATGTTCATGGAGAGATTCATTTAAACATATTCTTCTCATTTAAACATATTCTCCTCAATACTTTACATTAGAGACGCTAACGATTTTCTGTTGTTCACATTACAAGTTATTTTATTTTGTGATGTATTTTTCGTGTGATAACACTTCCTAATTTTACTGTGAATTTTCCTATGTGTAGTAGGCAAATCCACTGATTTATATCAAGTATCACACTTAGAAACTTTTTTTTCTAAATAAGGCAGCATATATGTGTATATAGTATTTTATGATTTTATTTTTATGCTATCCTATATAATTTACATTTGTATTTACTCAAATATATTAAATAATTCTAATACTATATATACATACTTTTCATATGTTAAAAAATTATTATCCAGTTGGTCTAACACTCTAGAGTGTTTGTCTTTTCCTGTTTGCCCAGAAGTATCAATTCTTGTTCATGTATTATATGAACAGATTCATCATATAAGCTCATATATATGCAAGTCATCCTATTCCAGTTGTTTTTCTTTTCTTCCATATTAAATTAGAAGACTTGACAATGCTTTATTTTAAATATAAACACATTTTTGGCAACAATTGTATATTTCCCTTTTCACACCCAAAGTTTTCTTCAAAATTTAAAACTATTTATCTTTAGCACTATTTTCTAGTTTTAGGAAAAGTGATTTTTGAAGCTCTAATTTCTTCAAGACATGAGCAATGACTTATCTCTGAAGAACTGACAGGTGAATTATCTGTAAAGGAATTGCCATTAAGATGCTATTATCAGAGATAAAGTTTTGACCTTTACCTGCTGCCAAGTACTTAAATGGCCTTTGTCCCTTTCCTGCTTCTCTTCTCATTCTAAATGAATAACGCTTCACTGAAGATCTACATATAATGTCAAATAATTATTTTTGTTCACCTGAGGCAAATGGGTAGTCGACCCCAGTTGCAGCCAGGTTTTGATTTATAAAACATAGTAGTATTTGTTTATCATTTTAGAGTGGAGAAAACTCCATGAATTTAAATCAGTGGCTAGAGATTATGTTATCTCTTTGTGGAAGAACTGAATATTTTAAGTTGGCTGTGAGCATTTCACCATTTAGATGCAGTCTGCATAATCTATCCTGTTCTGGCTCAGAATGAAAGCATTACAGAGAATGGGAATGTAAAGTAGGTGAATGTTAATCAACTACTTAATTTCTGGGTCACAGATTTTAATCTCTAAATTGTCAGAATCCTACAAAATATGCCAAGTCAAAAATGCATTTTATTAGTGATGCCATTTAATTAAAGCCATATTTCTGAAATTTTAGACAGGAAACAAGAAATTGGCTAAGTGATCTAATCTTAGGTATTTATCTTACATAAACACATAAAGCCCAGAATTTGTTAGAGTAAGTTTTAGGTCAAAAACTGATGAACAAATTCAGCATTCCATGGAATAAGGAAACGGTAAAAGATCTTAAGCAAATCATGAAATGCCAGGTTTTATGAAATTTGACTCCTGTGGGGATGGAGAATGAGTAGAAAGGAGGGAAGGGAACTAGATCTCAGGGTAAAGCAACAAAAACAGGATATAAAAAGGAAACAGCAAAAATAATAATGGGAGCTGCTGTCTAGTATGTATAAAAATTATTTTTTCCTGTCCAAAAATGAAAGGAAACAATAAATTCAGAGTCATAGCTCTGTTGATCTCCAAATTAAGTGTGGTTTAAATATTAGTAAGAATACAGATTGTATAAAGAAAATATAGAGATGAGTTAGAACTGACGGAGACCAACCTGTCATGCTCATAACCACTACGTATTTTCTAGTAAAAAATTTGCAGAGACAAAAGCTTCAGAGCATTATCTCTTGAGAACATGATAATGCCTACAATATTGATAATACTTCACACTTTAACCTTCAACAAGTTTTGCTTGTAACCCCCCAAATAGACCATATGCTAACTCCCAATGTGATAGATAAGAAACCAATAGGGAAGATAAATGAGTTGTCAAGGAAACAGAGATAGAGACACAAACTCATGCTATGGAGCCAATAATTTTGATATAATAAGGAGTTGGTCTTTTTTAAAATAACTCTCGCAAGAAGTTATTTTTTTAAAGAAGCGAATACACATACTGTGTTAAATTTGAGATTGTTACTTCTGTTTAACATTGTCCATTAAGAACTCTACTGATGCATGCCTCTATTTATTTTGGACAGGAGATTCCTATGGTATATGGGAATGCAAATGAACTTCAAGTTAGTTTGTATGACAATAGCGTTTACAAATGTCTGGACCTTTAGAAGACACATCCAACTCTTGGGCAAAATAAGAGAAATAAACAAACAAATGAAGCCCTGATGGTATGGGTTCAGTGCAGAGCAAAGGCAGGCCTGGACGCCATTCAGCCTCATTAACCAGAGATCCGAGCTGTGACCTGCCTTTGGCCTCAGATGGTACCCTACCAGCTGCTCTACTCTGCCACAGAGGGTGGTTCACCATATATTTGTTAGTTAGCTGGGCTGGTTGCCAGAGCTGTTTCTTTTCCTTTTCTCATATTTCCAGAATTAGCCAGAGTTTTTTTCCTACATATTTTTCACATAAAGATGCAGAGCACAGTCCACCCACTGTGAATAAATTTAATTTAGTCGTCTTTATGCCTCCTTGATTTCCATCAGCTAAAGTCTACAGTACAGGGGCAGATGCGTAAACTGGGAAATCTTCCAGATTTCTTTCTTGCTGTTGTTGTTGTTATTTCATTTCATGCCTAGCCATCCAACAATACTCCACATTAAACAGGGCTCTTGTGTTGGTAAACATGCCTCTAGTATAAAAAGATAGTTCCCTATTCACACCAGACTGTAGGCCAAGCAGGCTCAACATTTGAATTGTCTTTCAGTAACATTGCTTCAAAGGGTAATGAGCATCACATTTCAGAGGAGGATCTTTTTGTTCATTCTGCTTTCTCACACTTGAAATCATATTACCATGTGAGAGTATACCAAGGCATGACAAAAATCTTCACAAATGACACAGTCAGAAGTATCACATATACACATGGGATTGAAAGGCAGTCCATGGTTCGAGGGGAAATTTAGCTTTAAATGTTGCTAACCTTCTGACAAGGGCCCTGCTCAGTTACAGTTCTGACGTCCAAAATCTGTAGTCATGCCTTTCCACTTGACTTGAACAAGTCACTTACTGATTCCATATGCTATTCAGATCATTTCTTTGGTGATAGTTAGAAAACAGAGTAATTTCCATTTGGAATCATTGTTCTCACCTACATGACTTTAGTAGAATTTGCTCAACTGCCTTTTCTGTCTAGTGACTATTAATGCTACATTAGGAGATGCCAATTTGTGATCTTAGTACACTAATCTCTATCTCAAATTTCTGTAAAGATTAGCTGATAGTATCCAGTTTTAATTTATTATTTTTTCTCACAAGCATTTATTTGTCTATTGTTTTTATTTCCTCGATGAGCACTGGAGAAAAAAATGAATTCAGTTAGACTTAAAAGTTAAAATTTCAAGATATAATTTAATGCCTGCTACTTGAATTCTCTTCAACTATGGCTCATGATATGGCTTGATGACAGAAAGATGAGGAATATATCTTTTGGGTTCATCTACGTGAAGCTGTATAGCCTGTTTTCATTTGCTCATAGACCTCTCTGTTTCCAATTTATTACCTACATTTTTTCCAATCCTGCAGTTGAAACCCGATGAAAGGATCATCAAAACCGAATATGGGCTACTGATTCGAAGTCTGCAGAAGAAGGACTCTGGGATGTATTACTGCAAAGCACAGGAGCACACTTTCATCCACACCGTAGTGAAGCTGACTTTGAATGTCATAGAGAATGAGCAGATGGAAAATACCCAGAGGGTAGAGCATGAGGAGGGGCAGGTCAAAGATCTATTGGCTGAGTCACGGTTGAGATACAAAGACTATATCCAAATCCTTAGCAGCCCAAACTTCAGCCTGGACCAGTACTGTGAACAGATGTGGCACAGAGAAAAGCGGAGACAGAGAAACAAGGGCGGCCCAAAGTGGAAGCACATGCAGGAAATGAAGAAGAAACGAAATAGAAGACATCACAGAGACCTGGATGAGCATCTCTGAGCTGCATCTACATAGTTTTCTATTTAATTTTTTTCAAAGAATCATTTACCTGCAAACATATTACAGTCTTCTCTTTTGTACATTTCTCTTACTAACTCATAAATATTTTCCATGGAGTTTTTCTAAGGAACAAAAACAATAACCTGAGTAGGACTGAATAGCACTCTATATGGCAAATACGGGATAGTAGGGGCAAGAAATTCCACCTGAACCAGTTATTCCAAGAATGGAAACTCTAAGAATTATCCGCAAAATAGCAGCTTTACATAGGTAAATGGTTTATGTTTTGAATTTATTTTATCATGTAAATATTTAAGCTAAGCAAGTCTCAAATTTTTATATGGCATTAAGCATGGGCTCACCATGCTCTTGTGCTGTATTCTTAGGAATTGATAATCATTCCATATCAGAACTGGTTATCTTATGGTAGGAAATAGAGAGAAGGCACACATTCAAACAGCTCTGAGTATTAACAGGAACTCTCTCAATGAGTCATTTTCTTTTGGAAATAGGTGTGGAGATTTGTAGAGGTACATTATTTCTTTCAGCCCACAAGGGTTACATTCAGTGTACTGCAACATTGATTTACTGAAGGGCATTAATTCCCCTCACAGGATTCCTTATGATTTGTAAAGAGGAACAAGTTCACAGACAGAAATTGGTGCTTGGTTATATATTTCTAGAATACATGCTAAGCTCCACAGGGAGAGGATGCTTGATACCTATTCTAATGAGATATGAGAAAATGTTTTAATAACGTAAAAGAAACATCATGATGTGTACTGCATTCTAATGGTAACATGCAGATGGGATTTGTTAGGGAACTGAAGGAGAGACAGCCATAAATTCTGGCTTTGGGAATAACTCAGATCCCCATGAAAAGGAAGAAGAATCACAAATAAAGTGGACAAAATGTAATGGAGCCCTTTTCACTGGAGAATAAGTAGCTGCCAATGTGTAACTCATCTATTTTTTAAAGTCAAAATTATTATAAACTGCCAGCAGAAGTCTGAGGAAAAGTAAAATTTCTAAAGGACCATGGGAAAGATGAACATAGTTTATTTATAACCAATGGTATTTCAATATGTATTGCTTCTAGTTGTCTTCCTAAATAATTGACATACTTTACATAGTTTCTATTTGCGTCCTTATTCTCTCTTGCATATTGCATTATTGAATTATCTTTGAAAATGATATATAATGCTGAGATAATTAAGTAGATTACAAGCATTGGAGCTATTTGTTGAATAAACAATTAAATGTAAAAATTTGACAACGGAAAGGGTTAAATTAACTCTTTGACATAGTTTACTTCAATCAACCTTTTTGATTTTCTGAGATATGTTGTAATTCAAGTAGCAATGTTTTAGTAACTTAACAATACCCACCAAACTCCAAGCTTTAGTGTAAACACCTTCATATTATATTAGCCTGTTTGAATGTTTCCAATTCAATTTCTTTGAATCTACATAGCATATTTCCTTCTGTATGAGTAGGACTCACCTTTCCTTCTTAGAGCACACAACCCTTAGCCTTTTTCTGTTTTGCCTTTTTCACGCCCTTTAAAGTGTGAAATGAAAAATTAGTCACTTCCTCATATGGAAGGCGGCTTTTCAGAAAACTAAATAACAGACTTTGCTCATTTCTCATGCATTCTGAATACTCTGAAAGGAAAGTCTGTGAGAAACCAAAGTGCTTAGAAGGCAACTTATTACTGAGTCTGTGACAGTCTCTGTGTTCAGAGCCTTATATTACCTTTATTTTATGTGCATTGCTTCCTATTTTCAAAGAAGTCACACATACATATGAGGTTAAGTACCCTCTTTCATATTGTACTCATGAATATTTGGAGATATCTTACTGGTAAAGAAAATTTAAGGAACTAATTTAGTAAAAGCAAACTATAATAAATCACTCTTTTAGAAAGAAATGCATACCATTAATAGATGTGACACCTTGTACACCTTATACATTTAACTGATGCACATTCAAAATAAACGAGAAAGATACAACACCTCTTCCCACATCTGAAGGGTTTTAGAATGTTTGTAATTATTGATTTGCTATTAATTTATAGTGAACTCAGAGCAAGGTGGAACTGGAGCCATGCATTATTCTTATAGGATTTAAAACTATGTGCAATATACCAGACATTACACTTGTAATATTAACATTCAAATATGGATGGTTTTTGGAAAATTACAAAAAAGCTGAAATATTAGGACTGACTTGTAAAAAATAAATTATTTTCACCCAAATCTGAATGTTCAAACTACTTTCCAGTTTCTTTTTAAAATATTTACTTCAAACAATTGAGAACCCAATTTCATGGCTTATATATAAAATTCTTGCTGCTTTGGATACAGAATGTTTAATTCATCAGAACTAAAAAAAATGAGAAGTATTTTATTAAAATTAAATCCCATATGAAAATAATAAAAACATACATTTTAAACATAGAGGTTACTTAAAGCTCATTTAGTTATTTTAACCATTCAGTAGTCCAGGATACTTAGAGGAATAGGGTGCATATATTGTTTACAAACACAATATAAGCTTCCACATCAAAAAAGATTTTATAAAGTTTTTCTTGAGATAGTGAGAAAAGTAAATTAGAGTTCAGGTTCAGGTATTCAAAGAAATGAACACTATGGCAAAAGTCTGTTTAATTACTATTTTCTGATCTTTCTCTGTGCATTTGATACCTATGTCTTTGACTTCCTTCCCTGTTTCGTTTTGCATTTCATTCCAGCTATTTATGCTGCTAAGTGAAATACGGCTTGACTGCATTCATTTACATTTAATTTATTGGGAATTTTAAGTATGTTTAGAAATGAAGAGTCTAATAATTTATGTATATCCTTTTTTGCTTTCCCAAAACACTGCATTCCCTTGATTGAGTAAACAATTTAGAAAAACATTCAAATTATTTAAGAAATTCAAAATAGTCATAAAGAAGTTAGCAATTGGCAGAAGCCACAACATGGCTCACTTAATATACTGGCTACAGAGTGGTCTAATTTTGAATTTTCCTTCATCTGTGTTTTGATTCTTCATGTGCTACTATATTTTATTCTTGTTTAGTTATATGGACTTAAATAAAATGTAATTTGCAATGCCTCTTTCTAAAAGATAATGATGATTCAATGTCTAAGGAGACCTTGGTATTCTGATATCTACAAAATAATAAAGTTAAGTGATAACTTTCATTAAGCACTGGTTATCTTAAACCTCATATGTGATGTACTCCATATTATACATATATATATCACTAAGACAAATGAAAATCAAAACGGAAAATACCCTCTGTTACATCTAAGAAAACATGATTTAATTGGTTAGCCTTAGTTGGGAATAGTTTAAGAAAGTAATGTATTTGAAAGTTTTGTAAAAAGATACATACTTTTCATAATAAATGTTCACAATTTTTAAATAATTCAGTTTACACATGAGGCTAAAATTATACAAAATCAAAACATTCCCCATTTTTAAAATTGAGGGAAAAAAGACCGGAACCTGAAAAGAACGTATAACTAACTTTGTAATTTAATCCTAGCATTAGGAGTAGGTAGGATTCAATTTTGAAATTACAACTTGGTATTTTTAAAGACATGTAGTCTTGTAGTATAAAATAAAACAAATTGTTAATTGTATATTTGGTTGTATTATAATAAAACAAACAGTTTTGTATAATTATAAACAGTATTGATTTGTGTGATTTTTTTACAGTCCAAATATTCTAAGGAAATTTTATGCATATAATTGAATTGAACAAAATATTTTAAAAGGCTAAAGCAAGAAGATCCAGAGTTCAAGACTAGCTTGAGCTAGTCTCTATTCCTAGGTGGAGTAGAGAAACCTTGCCAAAAGCAACTTTATGAAAATATTTACATATGAAAATATTTCCTGAAAACTCATTTGTGAAAGGAAAAAACAAATCTCTTCACATTTTATATTCTCATTACATTCTTTCTTATTTTTATTTTTAATATATATTGTTTATTGTAAAGACACTGTACAAAGGGGTTACAGTTACATGAGTAAGGTAATGAGTACACTTCCTATGGAACATTGTTACCACCTCCTTTTTTTTCCCTTACCATCATTCCCCCCCAAAATTGTAAAGTTTGTTTTTAATATAGTGTCTTGTACATCTCATTGTTATAATGGGTCAACCTGGATCCTTATTTCAGCATTTTATTATTTCCCCACCCCTCCCCAAATTATACTTGGAAAAAATTATATTAAGTGAAGTAAGCCAGGCCCAAAGAAACACAGGTCCCATGGTTTCCCTTATTTGCAACAACTAGTATAAGTAGAGGACAAGCAGAAAAGGTCAAAAGCTATGTACATATGACCATATAAGATGATGTTAAGTGAAGTGAACCCCAATATAGAGACACATGTTTTTAATTTCTTGCTATTGTTTTTACTGTATCTAAAATGTACTGTGTGATTTTTTTGTTTCTCTTTTATGTTCTTTCCCCCACAGTATAACCCCTGTTTTCACTGTATTTGATGTCAGTGCCTGCATCTTGTTATACATTTTTCTAATTTGGGGAGGGGAAAGGAACTAAAAAAATGCTGAAACAAGATACAGGTTGACCCATTGTAACAATTAGATGTACAAGACACTTTGTTGAAAACGAACTTGTGAGCTTGGAGGGGGAGAGGGGAGTTAGGGAGGTTGAGAGGGAAGGGATGATAGAGGAAAAACAAAGGAGGAGGTAACAATGCTTGATAGGAAATGTATTCATTACCTTACTCATGTAACCGTAATCCCTCTGTACACTATTTTTTACAATAAAAAAAGGAATTTAAAAAAAGAAGAACAATGTATATACAAGATGTAGGGCACCGGAATCAAATACATAAAAACTTCCTAAACTTTACTACAATATAATTTATATTTTGTAGGACTGACATGATCATTACTACCACAAATAACTACTTACTTATGACTTTTCAATTACTACCTGATAAGTAAAAATTTAAAAGACTATCCATTTGCTGGTGCCTCACACCTATAATCCTAGCTACTTACAAAACTG